ACAACATTCCAGGTAAATTTCTATCTTTTGCATATTGCATGATATCATATACAATTCGATTGTGTTCCCCAATATAGCGCCCAGCAATAAATCCTGTTTGATCTATATTAATTATTTTATTCTGCTTGCTATTGATCCTGATGCAATTTTATAAATAATATTAAGTAAAGAAATTGGTCTCCAGATTTCTTTGCGAATCGAAAACCACATACATTTGAATACATGTATATCTGTGATTAACATGATAACCTTTAGTGTGATTATTTGTTCTAATAGTGTTTCTTATTGCACTCTGTTGTACAATTTGGACACATTTAAATCATGAAGGATAATTTGTTATAAATGCTTGACCCTAGCTGTTGTTTGGCCCAACAATAGTAGATACCGTCGTCATATGGCGCTAACTGTTGTTTGGCCCAACAATAGTAGATACCGTCGTCATATTACCCTAGCTGTTGTTTGGCCCAACAATAGTAGATACCGTCGTCATACGGCGCTAACTGTTGTTTGGCCCAACATAGTAGATACCGTCGCCATATGGCGCTAGCTGTTTGTAGCCCCATCAATAGTTGGCTACAGGATATGTCATAATTACCAGGTTTCAACTAAAGTGGCACAGGTAATATTTATATACGAGTATTTTGCTTTTGAGTCTTCTCAGTGCATACTTTTGTTTTTGAATTTCGACTTTGAATTACGAATTGTCACTATATGGTATAGGTATTTATATATACTTATGCACACATATTATTAAAATGTGTTTATGTATGGCTTATAGCGGACGTTTGAAAAGTTTATCTACTGCTAGATAACAAAATGAACAAGCGTCTGTAGCGTATCAGTACATATTCAATATCATGTCGATCACATGATGAAACGCTGATATATTTATATCATTATGTACCATTATCAGGGTACTGAACTCGATAATAGTTGAAAGAACAGGAAGTTCTGTCCAATATATCTCATGTGTACTTACCTGTATTGGATAGATACATTTAAAACCTTTTATAAGGATAGTTATTTACTACATTAACCATAGTCGCAAACTCACTTATCTGAAGAACTAGCCGTCTAAAATTCTGTTAAAAACTTATAAAACTAGGAAATGTCTGTAAAATGTTCTATAAAAGGTTGCAACCACTTTGATCTTGATACCCTGAAACATGCACACACACAAGGTACTACACTTAAAGTTGATTTTAAAATTCATATGTTTTTTTTCTGTTTGTTATTATCATCTCCATTACATATTGAATGAAGTTGCTAAGTGTTTAAATTGAATCAGTAGATGTATTTCTATATATAGCAACAGTGACCTTGGCTTGACCTTGGAACCCTGAAACACAACAATGTCCGTAGTATACTCATACTTGACCTTTGCATAACGTTTGACCAAAATCCATGAAAGAATGAAGTTGCTCAGTGTTTACATTGAATCGGGACGGGACGGGACGGGACGATTTTCTATATATAGCAACTGTGACCTTGGCATTGATCTTGGATCCCTGAAATACAATGATGTCCGAAGTATAATCATACTTGACCTTTGTGTAAAGTTTCACCAAAATCTGTCAAAGAATGAAGTTGATAAGTGTTTACATTGAAACGCAACGTGACGGGACGGGACGGGACGGGACGGGCATGGGTAACACTATATGACCCCATTTTATGGCGGGGGCATAAAAATCATAGTTGTTATCTTAAGTTAAACTTAATAACACTTTTCAATCTTCAAAATGATAGTTAATTGCTA